AGGAGCACTTCAAAGGCAGAAATGGGTCAGATAAATAAAGATAGCACAATCATATGATTCCAATACAGTCTCCAAAAACAAGCTGTAAATGTAGATGGTGAAGAGCCCTGCTGTCTTTTCCTTTAGCAAGCTTGCAAGTTCAACTCATCTCCGCATTCAACAGTGAACACAGCATTGCAATGGTAGCCAAAGTGATACCACATTAGGAGCATTAGTGCAGACTATGTTAGCAGTAGTAATTAGCAAAAAGAACAAGACTGGGTTTTACTGTTACCCATTCCAGTCATTTTAATTGCATGAATCTTGATACATTACCTGCCCCAATTTATCCACTCTGAATGAGTGGATAAATGAATGAGTTACCTGCCTGTGCACTACTGACCCAGAAAACCCTCTCTGCTCTCTCTGAAGTCTCCACAGCTATCGCATAGATTCTGCGCTAGCAAGTCTGGATTATGTTACTTATGCTTAGCCCATGGCTAAGTTGACCCCATGACTACTGAACTGAGTTGAATTGTTTAAGAAAGAAACACAGAACAATCCCGTTTTTTAACATGGACTGTTTCAGTGATCTTATGCACACAGTCTTTGTGCAGGAGGTTTTTTTTTCAGAACTGAGTGGGTGGTAAACTGCAGCATGGTGTAGGAAAAGAAAAGCCAGAAACTTCCGAACTCAGCTCTGCTGCTGAAGATACTGTTCTATGAAACTGTAACAAAAGATGCTTACTGGGAGAAGAGGGAGAAGCAATGTAAGTCATGGCTAAGAGAAAAAAACTTTTTTTTTTTTTTAAATCTACACAATAGGAGAAGAAAAGTTCACAAAGCTTCCAATTCTTGAAAATCATAGAAAGAAAACCACCTCAACATCCACAGGTGAGACATTTTGCCGGAGGTCTGAGGCACAGCCTTTTGAGGGACAAAGCTGAAGTGAGTTTTCAGGGTTTCCTCTTAGTCCTATGGCCCTTCAGAAGCTGGCCTTGGACAAAAGGTCAGTCCTGTGGGGTGGGAGAATCTGAGAAGCTTAGAGTCTGTCGCTCCAGAATACACTTGGTGTAGTAGAAGGTTTATGTCTCATCCACCATAAATAAACTCTAAATTATTAAGAGAAATGCCATTAACTCAAAATTTTATAGCGGCTGGGGAATCTGCCGAGGATATACTTATCAGCTGAAGTCTGTTTTACAACCTCTGCACATAACTCAGACCATCAGCTCATATTGGCTCGGCCTTTAGCTGACAGGGACCGTGTCACGTATCCCACAGGGTGCTGGAAGCCGCCAGCGGACAATGGGGGCAAGCGGCTGACACAGGCAACCATAGCCCTGGCAGAACAATGCAACTGCTGCGGAGGTTGGCCCTGCAGAAGGAAACTCACTTCTCCCAGGTTGTCCAAGGGGAGTGACACTGAAGCAATGGAAATTCCCCAGCAGTAAAGGAGAACAAAAGAGGTGTTGGAAGCTGCTGTTAAAAAGAGACAGGGCTCTTTAAACCTGCTGGCTGTCAGACTTGGACAGCTTCTTTCAGGGCCTGAAACAGGAGAGGAGGGTCCCCTGGCTGACATAAAACCTCACTGCTCTGCAGGATGAAATCCCCCAGGAAGTATACGTTAAAAACTACTCCTTACAGAGAGGACAGGAGGTTTAGAGTTCCGCACTATCCCCCATTGGGGCACAGGTTGAGAGCGTAGCCACTGCCGAGGACCCTGCTCAGACCAGGGATGCCCATGGGCTTGGCAGAGGCCCTTGCACCAGAGCCAGCCATGAACCCCCCCTTGGCTCCCCAGCCAGGACCTTGCCTCCACACAACTGCACGTCTCTTGTTTTTTGCATGGGTCTGGAAGTCTCTAGATTTCCTCCCCTGATTAGAAGGTGTGGCTGCTGAAGAAATTAGTTTACAGAGCCTCCAAATTCCTTACTGCCATTGTCATATGTCTGCAGCAGAAGTATCCACAAGCCCAGGGCGCGGGGAGGGGTGTGCTGCACAAGGGCTGGGACTCAGCACTGCTCTGGGACCACCAAATCCCCCTTTCTAGCAGGAGGAACTCTGCAAGGACTCTGCACCTGGAGAGGAAACTTAAGGAGTAATCCAGATATATGCTAGATTAAACTATCTGGTAAAAATCCCTCAAACCCACACATACCCTTCCCTAAAAAAAAAAAAAAAACAACAAAAAAAAAACAACCTGTGATTTTACAGCTGACATATTTCTTGGTAGTACGGCCATAACGAGTGTTTTTACTGAAACAAAAGGACAAGGTACATTGATTTATAAATTCATTGAAACACCAGGAGAAAAAGCAGTGGCTACGTACTCCCATTGACTGCCATGGCTTTTGGATCAGGCCCAGAAGAACGCTGGAATAAGTGGTGAAACATTTTATCTTCTAACTTTTTTGTGGCTACTGCAAACAATGAAAAATACAAGCACATACTTAGAATAACTCTATCCTTTGCAAAATGAGATCACACCTAAAAATACTTCCTCTTGTTGCTGTATAACTTGAGTTTATGATAATAGCTATTACACACACATAGTGAAGAGGAAAAAATAGCTTCCCAAGTGCTGGGTAAAAACTTGATATTGTATTGTAGAGTTTCTGCTACAGAAGAAACTTTTGAAAACTGTAATGATTCAGACTATTTATTCAAATACCAGAACAGACAATCCAATTATTGCATGGACAACATGAAATAAAGTACTACAAAGCCAGGGGGCTGAGTTAACAAATCATTGCTCGGAGACATGAAAAGCTACATGATGATGAAGATTCTTTGTATCAAAATTACATCAAGTGTTAAGAAACAACTGCAAAATGTATCTGAATTTTAGTTTTCCAGTTTGAAACAGTTAGTGCTATTATTTACACCCCCACACATAAGTCCACACAACTTGGAACTTCCTGGGATATACGTGTGCTGCTGATGTTCAGCTTTGCTCTAGGATCCAACACTGAATCACTGGACCCTGCCACTTTCTAGCGCAAGGCTGTGCTTTGTTCGCTTATTCCAGAGACTGCTCCAGTGCCCTGGCCTCTCAAAGTGCAAAGGTATTTTTTCATGAGTTTATGTTTTACTTTTTAAAGCCATCTCCTACACTTAAATTTCCTTAGCAACTTCCAAAGCAGCCGACGTTTGCAGCTGTGCTGCTGTGCCACAGATTTCATCATTGCTCAACCAGAGGAAAGTGTCAGTTAAGCTAAAATTTCCATTTACAGTGATTTCCTAAAATGTTGCATCAGTTCCCTGCTAAGTAGCACAAACCTAACAGCAAACAATATTTCTGTAACGTGAAGAAGAGTAAATTATCATTTATAGAATACGTCAGCGCTTTCTTAAGACAAGAGCAGCATTTTCTCATGCAGTTTCCTCAAATCCATTACCTATAGATAGAATAGATTTGGCTTTTAATTCTGAAACTGTTAGCAAGTTTCATTTCAAAGTGTGCAACCCCCCAGGATATAGAAAAACAGATGAGAGTAAAGGCAAAGTTGCTGCAGGAACAGAAATACATGCAATTGCTTTAGAGAACACGGAGCTGACCCCACTCCCTTCTCTGCCAGTGGGAATTTTACCACTGACTCCAGTGAAAGCACAGTCGGGCTAGTAATTTTCTAACACTTGAAGGCAACTATTTATATTTTTAAATGCAGGAATAGCCTCCCGCTCTGGTCCAGTTCTCAGCCTGAGGCTGTAGCCCTGCCAGCACTGTTAATGTCATTGTTTGCGAAGCGTATTCCCAGTCTTGTGTACACCCACGCTGGGCTCCCAGCTCCCGGCCGTGATGTCCCCCCTCCGCATTGTTCCAGCTCCCCCTGCTTCCTCACCTCCCGCCCCGTCCCCCACCATTGTTGTCCCCCTGCACCCACCCTGCATTGTTCTCACGCCTGCCTGCCATCCCCACCTGGGAGGGACCCTTCCTCCCTCCCACTCGTCGCAGCAGATCACGCTCCTTTCTTACCTACTTCCATATATTCCGCTGACCTATTGGCACCAAAACTTTTCCCCTTTCTGAAAGCGCATTACATAAACTAGCGTCACTAGATCCCACAGTTTTTGCATGTTGTGGGCGCTCTGCCTTAAGAAGCCCTGTCTAAAGTCTCTTAAACAACAGGAAGATTCTTCTTTCATTGCTACGGACTTTAGATCAGGCCCCAAATTAGGACTGAGAGCGTTACTGCATTTTCAGATGTGATATAAAAGGCTAAAGCAAAAATGTCGCTATAGAAGAGAATTACATAACAAGACAGACATAGGAATCAATATCATTACATCTTCACAATATATATGTACAGAAATGAGTGGCATGATTTACATGGGCTCCACTGTTACAGTAAAAAAAAAGCTAAATCCTTTCTAAACTGTGCTTTCTCTTTTTCACTATAAAAGCAAGTTAAAAATGAACCTGAAAGAAACCAAGACAAGGCTTGCATTTATGTAGTCAGGTGTTAATTGCAGACAGGTTTCGAAACCATCTTATACATACTTGTGTATCTACGTCCATATATACATGAAGTAGAGAGACATTTTCATTCATTTACCAATTAAACAATGATTGAACGTTTAAAAAGATTTTTAAAACCACACAGAAACAGATGAATTGGCCAGCTCTCCTGTCATTACACCTTACTTTTACTGCCCTCCATTTTCCAAATTCCCAAGGTTCTAAAATAGTTATCTGTACTGTCCTGTATTTTTAATAAAAGTATATAAGGATAATGGCCCTAAATTTTTTATGTACTTACTATTTTTTTCCTATGATACTTCACTCTTCACGAAATCACGTTTATTATACAGAAGATGATGTATAAATTGTTTTCTGTGGTCAAAGCGAAAGTGAGTCCTTAATAATACTTGGGAAGGAAAACAGCTATGTATGCTTAGAGGAGATTAAGTATAGAAACATAAATAGTTACCTCATTTTATTAATAAATAATTTATATATTTTGTATTTTAATTTGTATTTTAATATGTTAATATGTTAAAAAATCATTAACGCTTACCATGGCCTATGCGATGAAAGCAGTAATATGCAAAGTCCACTCCCAGGAGCGTCAAATACCATGTCCATGGTGAGTCCCAGGGAAGTTCAAAGAGTGTGTAGTTATTCCATATGTAGATATAACTAATTAAGCCAACTCTTCTGAATAAAACACTGAAACAGAGATCCAAAAAGTTTTTTCTATAATTTCTGATAACGGGAGTCATAAAACCAGTCTCCAAGTTCTGCAACCCCTGTCAAGCAATACTACTAACTACTACATCAGTGGAACCTCTGCTTGAGGTTTAAAAGGTTTTTAAAACCAACCCTCACCCACTCACCATCCATGCTGTGGCATTAGGCATGCTCGAAGGCTGAAGCACTCCATGTGCTGCAGGTGTTATGATATTCTTGTTTTCCTAAATCTGGAAGAAACCCATCCTTGCTAACTCAAAAGACAGAAGTGACTGAAGCATAGCAGCAATTATGCTTAAACATTAATGTATGACATTAAAATACCTTGACTATTCCCATTGCACGGAAGGTCATGGAAGGTGATATAATTTTAGGGAGCAGTGAGATACCTGCTCAGCGTATCACTTGACTTTAAAAGAGGATAAATGAAGGAGGAAGAGATAAACCCCAGTGCCTTTGAAAAGAAAGGAAAGGGCAATTGGTAGAGAAAAATGGCAGGACTGCCAGAAAAGGGGGAGGAAAAATATAAAATCACAAATTTGCAAAGGTGGGAAAGCCAGCAGACAGCACTTCTTTGGTGCCAAGTTCCTGGACTACAGGGAGTGAGCAGCTATAGTGCAGGACAGTGCTGAGACAAGGAGAAGGAAAAAGAAGGTAGTTCCAGGATGGGTAGGCCAGATCTAGTGCTAACTCTCCACAGCTGTTTAGGTTAATAAAAATTTGGGTCACCACAGTCACACCTTCACCTCAGTGCCCACCACTTCCACTCCATTTCACTGATTTGGAGGCTGAGCTGTTTTCAAACAAATTGCTTTGGTTTTGCTGGGTGAGTATTTGGACAGATCAGGAAGCATAACCCCAGCATGAGAAATACGATTGGGCACTCGGGTGGCCCAGGTGACAACCGGCTTAGGTAGCTATGAAATGCAGATTGATGTATAAACTGCCATTTTTGTAGAAGAGAGTAGTCCACAGCAGGATTTGCAGCAGCTTCTTCACACCTTCTCCTGCTACCCTCCTTGCTCTGCTGCTGAAGACGCTTGTGGGACTGTGGTGAATTGAACTGGGCAGCATTTCAAAAGCAGCAAGCAGAAAAAATAGTAGGGAGAAGACAGTAATCGTTGGAAAGTCACACATATCTCTCTTTATGGATCAAATGCACCTCAGTTTAGTGCTTAAGAATCAGAAATACAATTATCATTAGCCCCATCACCTACACAGAGGAAAAATTAAACCTAGTTCTCAGATGTTTTGCTGCTGGTATTTTATTTTTAGAGGGGGCAGGGAGAAATAAGCAGCAGAACACTACCTTTGTGCAAGGTTGTGCAAGGTTTTAGAAATCTATAAATAATATTCATGGTTGAAGGAAGACTGATAAATTCAAATTCAGGGAACTTCAAATGGAAATTGTAAATGGCACACCTGCAAGGCACTACTTGAGCAGAGGTGGTAACAAACTGCACGTAGGTGTCACAGCCTTGCAAAACCTCAGCTAAAAGTCTATGATGGACCTACATCTCTCACTTTAGTCTCACCTGGAACTTCACCTTACATTGAAATCAGCTAAAAAAGTCTCCATGCATTACTCTGTGCATGTCTGCTTATTCTTGTCTCAGTGCCACTTCTCAATGGCCCTTCTTCCCAAACCCTGCTTTTTTTTTTTCTCTCCCCCCCCCCCTTTTCTTTTTCCAGCTAGATTATTTTTATGTAGTTTACAGCATAACTCCCCAAACACTTGAATCTGTAAAACTAAAACAGGACATAATTTGCTCCTTCTCCTCTAAAAGCTTTGTTTCACACACCTGGAAAACATCCCTGAAAATGGCCTGGCCATGCGCTGTCCTTTTGGATAGATGCACTGGAACATGAGGTCACCTCAGCAAACATTGCTCTTGCAGCTTGCAAACCACCCCCATGCTATGAATCTTGCAGTCACCTCTGTGTTTTTGCAGAGATAACCATTCAGAGCTTTTGGCATTAGCATCTCTCTCTATAATGATGTTTTGAATAAGACTAGAAGGAAACATCTTGAGCTTCTGTGCTGTTAAGCTTCTCTACTAACGGAGAACAAAGTCAGCTGAAAATCCCAAGCTTCCAATACTAGGCTGCAAGCTGAACAGTATCACATCCACCATTTTATCCCAAGAAGTGGAAGTGTGGCTTGGAGTTGTTGCTTGGAGGGAAGCAGATAACTAATATCTTTTCCACAGCCAGCTGCCACATCTTACCTGCAACTCATTCCTACCTTTACTACAATCATCTCAGTTTTATTCTTGGACAAAAACGAAACACAACAAAACTCATGGAGTTTCATTTCAGCAGCTGGCAGATGAAGAATTTCTCTTTACTAGCAATGACAGGTGTACCTACCACTTCAAAAACAACTTACACACCTGGAACATGTTTAATTTTCATAAGAGCTGTGTTCTATAAATATTTTTAAAGATTATATGTGTCCAGCCAGATTTTTGCAATTCATCTCATGAGGCATCTGTAAAATTCAGTATAAAATCTCAATCCCTTTCACAACAGGTCAGAAGGGAGCTGATATTATTCAAACACAAAGAAATGGGCATTTCTTAACATCTTTTCAATGACTAGGAAATTTAAAACACCTCTTGCAACACAGAGTATCAGTTATTATTAGGTACTGTTTTCTTACTTTATTCTTTTGCTTTTATTAACTTATAATGCCTTTGCAGTACATCCAAAGATATGTGAATTGGTACATTTCCTCCATTTTTGATCAGCTTTCAGTATTTCACCCTGAGTCCCTTTTTTTTTTCTTTTCCACAGGCTAAGATGCAAAACTTGAGCTAACCCTACAACACATTTTTTATATCTGTAATTTGCTGTACATTCTTTCCTTCATGCTTGAATCACAACGCTACAGCACATAACACTAGCTGATTACTGTAATTAATTTAGAGTAATCCATCATATCACTACGCAATGCTGGAGAAAGAAGAGTTGCTTAGCTAAGTATTTTTATTAAATTTACAGTCTGATAGATAGGAAAGTCCAGAGCTTGCATTCAATTACAAAGTTCACTTGGAGTTTTAAACATTCATATTGCCCCTTTTTTTTTCTCCCTCAAGTTCCATTTTCACTTTTTGAAAATGCTGAAGAGAACTCAGAAAACCTTTTCCTCATTTAAATGTTTGGTTTTAACCATAAACATGACAGAAGCAGATAGGCAAAACTCTTGTCATCTAGTTGAATCTTCTTCATAAGGAGTAATAAATCCTAGAACAGACAGAGTGTATGAAAACCTTGTATACATTACACAGATTTATCTATTTGGATTTTTGAACATTTCTGCTGAATATTTTCTTATGTGCAAAGTATGCACTTAGGTAACTGTTTTGCCTCTGAGAGAGAGTTCTCATCTCCTTGTTTTTGAAGTTCACACATACTTTTCTCAAAGCTGATAGTATTTGTTTTAATAAACCATTTCCCCCCTTCTCCTTCCACTGGGTCAGCTTATCACTTCCTCTAATTAAAAAAGTCCAAGAAGGAAATTCTGTGAGATGAACTCTCCATGTGGAAATGAAGATCTACTTATTGTAGATCCCCATGGGATAATGAAGGAGGGAAAAGGTGGAGGAAATTCAACTGGAAAAAAAGGCAACTGCCCCTTTCAAAAAATACAAGGTCCTGTTTTGCTTCCTGAAACTCACAGATCAACCTTAGTGCCTAAACCCAAAGTTTTAGGAACCCTCTTCCATAGTGCCCAGGACAGTCACCACAAAGGAAAAGAGACAGAGACAGAAACTATTGTCTCTCTTCCAAGCATGGAGGAAAATCGGTGTGTCAAAAGTGCAGACCCGAAGGAAACCGCCTCAGCCCTCACCGCTATTGTACTCACCACCTTGCATCACACTGGGAACCAACCTGGGGCCCCTGAGCTAAAAACACAACTCTACAGCTGGACCTACAAAAGCTCAGCTCTCAAGAGCTCTAACAGACTTGCATCCTTGGAGGTCAGACACAGAGGGAAACATGTTAAGACACCCTGGTCACAAGGTTATATTATCATTAAAAATAGTGAGATATTACTAATACAGTGTCCCTGGGTTAAACAAATTCAGTCTTCCTAACCTGATTCAAACTACATGAATGCAAAGTTTCAGAATGCTGAACAAAGGCAGTTTCTCCTCAATAATTTGAAATTATTCAGACCATATATGTAACAGCAGGATACATGAATAATTAAATGCTCTGTAAACCTTGTTTCAGAGTGGAAAGCATAAGGATTTCCATTTCCAAGGATACTCATAGAGCTTTCTTTTCCATATGAAAAACTGGCTCCAATCACAATTGAAATAAACATTTTGATAACAGGATTTCAGTAAAAACGAGAAGGGGGGAGGAGGTAGAGGAGCCTCGAGAAAAGGTCCATTTGCAAAACAAAGCAAACCTCCTGCAACTGAAATCCCTTTTATTTCCTGTACAGGTGCCAGGTCTTGAACAGACACCCAATTTATTACCTTGTCAGCTGACTTATTAGGGTTGACACAAATCGAGCTGAAATATGCCTGACATACTACAGTCAAGGCTTTTTTCACGCTTTAGCACAAAGCCAAACTTTCCACAAGGTGGATGGAAAGGGAGAGGGAGCTGTGGGAGTTTTATTCCCTGTTTTCTATCATCAAGATGAATATGATCCTCTCCCATTCTTAATATGCAAAACCAGTCATGAAATAACCCAAGGCTAAAAAATAATTCACCAAAATGGCACAGCTGGGAAATGATTATCAGGCTCTGGAAAGCCCTTGATTACAGGAAATAGCACCTACATTTTGAGAAAACGTTCCCACCAGACACAAAAGCTGAATCAAAGCCTCTCCTCTTCCTCAGTACGCCCTTCTTCTCTAGCATTTTAGCCTAAATAATGCAAATCCCCAGCTTTCCTCCAAGAGGAAAAAAACCTATCAAATACTAAACGAAGTAAAATGGAGGTGGCTTTGGTATCCCTA